GTCTGGAGGGGAGGGTGAAAATATCATCAAGAGTCTACTCATTGGAAATTCAAGGGATATTGGTGTGAGACATGCCCAAATTTCTGGTCGCCTTGCCAAAATCGCACTGGTGGCAACTTGGAGAAGACGACCAGTCGAACCGATTTGCGCTGCAAATCTTTGCCGTGTGCACTGCGTGCAGATAAGTGGGCGAAACTCGGATTCGTTTCTTGCAAATGCGTCTGTCTGCATAATTCGTGAAGCTAATTGCTTCCTCAGGATACAGAGTAGTTCGTGAAGCTGATCGCTCCTTCAGTGCATAATTAGTGGAGCTAACTGCTCCTTCAGTGCCACAAAACAGCTTCTCAGGCGCAAACAGCAATCCCGGAATCAATGTATGATGAACAATGTCGCGAAGTACATCATGCCACAGATATGCACACCACACCAAATGCCTGACTGTTCAGGTCCCTTGTTTGTTCTTGCGCCTGCCATTTTGCGCAGCTATTGACATTGTCCTTGAAACTCATCCCAGCATCTCTTGGAGAGAGTTGTTCATCAGCCAAGAAAGCCAAGATGCGCTCTACCCCCTCAGTAGCATTCTCAAATGAAGTTGTTCCTAGCTCTCGTGGGCTTACATCACCACTTCTCGGGAGTAATGTTTTTCCAATCTGCTATGACTGCCTCTAGAACATTTCCGAGCATCCAAAAAGAGGCGCACTCCAAAGGGACAATTACACTCTCAGCCTGCCATCTCCGCCAAGAGTGGCAGGAAACTCCGCTCCAACAACTTCTCTTGCAGTACGGTTTCTGCATGTTGGTTCTTTGATCCTTGATATTGAAGATAAATTTTGGGAAAATGAACACGTGCTTGCAACAGTATTTCCTTACCCTGTAGCCTGTAGTTGGTTGTTGTGTGTGTGTGTGGAAGCATAAAGGCTCTTTCTTGCCCGATCGAATGCTTGGCCAACTATTCATTCAAGGGAAGTGTTCATTCCCTTTCCTTTTTCAACATCCATTCCATCAAAATCCTTTAAGAACTGATAGCAGCTAGACAAACAACTTGCTGATAAATAGGAGACTTTTCTTAAAAGAAATTCTTGGACCAAGCTTCATCATTGCAGGGGGAGTGAATCCAATTAATTACGACTTCTCCCCACATTTTTGTTCACTCAATTAAATTCTCTTTGGATGCCCACACGCTGTAGAAATAGTCACAGCCTATGCATGACCCGAATTGTTTAAACAAACGAATTGTTTAAACGACTTTAAACTGAGTGCAGCGACTGAGTTGCATTGGGCGCACATCTTTGGATCTAAGAGCTTTTGCATTTTTCCTTAAGAAGTGCACGAGGCGGCCCAACCAGGAACCAGGTCTGCACAAAATGAGACAGAACTGTACTCAGCCTCTACTGTGAGCACCTTGTTCGGACAGATTCTCCGAGCAAAATTTTCAGCAGCGTCTCTTGCGAGCGAAGGAAATTCCTGACCCCCAAGCCGGATCGTTTCCGAAAGGGACTAGATTCACCGTTCACTTTCCACCTGAGTTGTATTCTTTCCGTGGGAGAGTGGGGCTTCACCAATCCAAGTAAAGGCTATAGCTGCAAATTTCTCCTCCACATACTTCCTTCCGAGCTGCAAGCAGCTCGATCTGCCTAAAAGCGAATCGACGAAACGAACTCGGCTTGGACAACTTCAAAGTCAAAGAAGAATTTACTCCTCCAACCTGCGGAACGCGGCCAACCACTCCCGAAAACGGAGGCTTGTCCTTTCGCGGGTGGCCGGCGAGCATACAACTCTTAGGCGAGCATCCTGCCAGGCACAGGCTCAGGTGCCTCAGGTGCAACCTGAAACCGCCCATGTCTGGGTATCGAATGCCCACACGAGTTGTTTTCCAGACTCTTTCGCGTTCTTCGTATATGAGGGGTCTATCTTTCAAAACACATATGAGATGTCCAACACCTTTCACGCTGCATGTTTTCCAAACAACTCACACTTCCGCCGCTGCATTCCCACGTCGCGTGCAGAAACCTCGCGCGCCTCACACTGAATGGAGCCACGAAGCAACCTCTGTTAATTGCTAAGGCTCACCCCATCGCAGGCCCAGGTGCATCCTGAAAACGGACACAACCTCAGGTGCATCCTGAAACCGCCCGCGTCTGGGTGCCGAGTGTCCACACGAGTTCTATTCAATTGCTAAGGCTCAAATCCTGCCACCTGCTGACGCAAATCGATCATGGCCTTCCTCAAGAGCTGAGAAAAAGGGCTCGTCACGCTCTTCGAGCAGACAAGGCCTACCAAGCCTGACAAACTCATACCAGCAATAGTATGGCGAATCTCACGAGGAACTCCACCCACGCTGGCACCTTGCTTTTTCAAATCACTGGCAATGCTGAACAGGATCATTGACTGCACTCCTGTTGTGTCTTGGTTTTTCTATACTGCAGAGTTGGAAAAACAACTCAGAAAGCTCAAACAAAAACAAGGCCAGGTTGCTGTCGTCGCGGTCGCGAATAGCCAGCTCACGATCAATCAACTCCAAAAGTACTGATGCACCTGGATGATTGATCGCCTCCACCTTGTCTTGGACATATGGACGAACAGCTTCCTCAGGGGCAAGCTGGAATGCAAGGAGCGAAAGAACATCTTTGAGTCATTCAGATTTGCCTGCGCCCCAGAAAACGTCAAGGAATACTGCAAAATCGATTGATTCTGTTTCGAGCTTCAAGCAACTTCACGTGTGACCATGAGGTCAGCACTTTCCGTTGATGCCTGTTAAAGGTCGCCACTCGCCGGTGATGTGAAGCATGGCAAAAGCCACAGTCGGCTCCCTGCGAGACAAGAATATCCTTTTGGGAAACTATGGAAGGGTTAGTGCCCTAGGTACCATATGCATCCCATAGCATCCATATATCATGGTCGTTCATGACCCGGGGGGTGCCTCCATTCATCAACCAACCACTATAGCAAAAGGCCAATCTACGATCTCAGCAAAGTGCGGAAGATTGGGTGGTGATTTTTGATTTTTGGTCGGGCCCTTTGACATATCATGCATATATATATGATGCATGCGGCATGCACCGATTGGGCTGCATGCTGAGTTGCAGGTGTTTTCGATGTCGCTTCCTTGGTGTCTTTTCAATCGGATTTCAGGTCTGAAAACGGGATCTGGGGGTCCAACATGGCAGACCATCTACTAGGAGCGACGAAACCGACCGCCTTCCCGGCATTCCCGGCATTCCCACCTCTTGACAGTTCCCATGCAGAAATAGAATGCATGGCCGACGGCAAAGGTCCGGATGTCCGTGGCTGCCCTGCGATGCACCTGCGCTCGGCTTTGTAGCCGGTCGACTGGCACTCGCGGACGTCAAAGGAATCGGACAGGTTGACCAACCGTTGACAGCATTCCAATCCAGCAGAGGTTGAAGAACCCGAACTAGACTATCCTATAAGTACCCCTCTAGAGGTCCCAATCTGCGGGCACGTCACATACGCTGTCCACTCGTGCTTGGACACGACAAGACGAATGGACAGGGGCGTGGACCCGAAAGAGGCGCCCACAACGAAAAGACGCGTCGTCCCCCGCGACGGTCGCGACCAGCGACTATAGGAGCTAGAACAGCATCCTCCCATTGAAAGATGTCAAGTTCATGTTTTGGCTCTTCTTGACCAATCTGTTTTTTGCTCACCAACAGATTCCCGGCACCGGGAAATCACAAATTGTTACACCGTTAGACTGACTAATAGATAAAGCACCTTCCAACGAGTTCGCCCAAACTAAAGATTCGCTTTCTCGTGAACCATGCGTAGCCACATTTAATACGTAGTTGAGGGACTGCTTATGACTATTTTCTAACATTCCCCAATGGGCTGAGGTGTTGCATAAACGAGCTCAGGCTGAGGAGAAAGGACGTGTTGACTTGTGCGGTGGAATGTCATGATAATCATGGGCCAACGTGGATGGCATGGCCCATTAGATTATCATCACATCCGAATACCAAACAGGCGGTGCAATCAACTGCCATGATGATTTCAGGGAGTGTATGGTGATATTAGGTTGGAGGCCATCGTTAGTAGGTTGGAAGCCATTGCTAGTAGGTTGGATGGAGGCCGTCGCTGGTAGGTTGGAGGCCATCGCTCTTAGGTTGGAGGCCATCGCTAGTAGGTTGGCGGCCATCGCTAGTAGGTTGGAGGCTATCGCTATTAGGTTTTCACTCCAATTCCATTATTCATTCAATATAGTGACTTGTCATGTGGCGACCAGTGATGCATGAATTCTGAAGCGTGCCAGTGATGTGGTGTTACCAGTTATGTGGTACACTGTACGGTGACTCCCGAACCCGAAGCGCTTGGACAAACAAAAAGGGCCAAACACGACTAATGGGACTGCCATAGGACTGCCGATCAATTGACTCCCAGTCAACCACCCCTGGCCTGATCGGCAGTCCTATGGCAGTCCCAGACAGATCGTGTCTGGGAGGATCACCAAACTTTCCACCGCTGACTGGGTAGTGATCATGATGACTTGTGATGGTTGCTCGAGCCATGGGGTAAAGTGATGTGGTTCAAAACGATGAACGCGCAAGTTTCTTCGAGATCGCACGTTAGTTTCTGGGAAGTAGTTTCTTAGCTACTCCAGATCTTATTCTTGCAGAAAACAACCTAGAACATGATTCCTTTTTGGGCGTTCCTGTTGCCTTCATATTCTGCACTGTAAGGGATCCCAGATGTTTGGCGTCCAAGACAGAGGAAAGGACGCGTTTCTTTCGGTCTCCACAGCGATCACAGTTCTTCCGACACGACTCATGGGACTGGCCGTTTCTCGGTCCTATGCCAGTCCCCAGACAGGTCATGGGGTTTCCGGGGTTTCTCCAAAAAACACCCAAAAACATCGAAGAAACGGCCTTTTCCCATGTGTTTGACGTGTGTTTTCCATGCCCATACCACTCCACGACTAATGGGACTGAAAGTCTATGCCCATCTATGCCCATATATGCCAGATCCCCCTGGCACCACCAGCCCTGGCCGTTTTGAAGGCAGTCATGGCAGTCCCAGACTAGTCGTGTCTGGGTATGGAGGTGTTCTGCACATGCGTCGTGGCGTTTGCGCTGCAACGAGTTTCGCTTTACGCTGCCCTTTCTTCGCTTCGGAATGGACGAGCGCGTTCGCCGCGTCTCTGCACGGCGGACCCGAATTCGCTTGTGGCGTTCAATCGGTGTTTCAGTGCTCGAGAGGTTGTTTGAACTATGTTTGGTCAACAACATAGAATAGGAAAACAGCTATAATGTTGATGGTCTGCCACTTTTTGGTCCTATTTTTCGAATTCTATATGATTTGTGAACAGCTATGAAACATGGAGGATGGCAGCTTTGAGTGGTGCCGCGTTCAGAATCCTCCATTTCAGTTCAATGTTTCTCCTGTTTAAGCGTCCTCAAATTTCAACCTAAAAATCTGGAGCTCCATTTTACCAAATTCCACAACCTAGGGTTTATAGTGGAAGTTCAAAAACATACAAATTATACTCGGCTGGGGGCTACCTGGGGTGAAATTCTCAACCCAAAGCAGCTTTTCCTCTTTTTGACGGCTCGAAGACCAAGTTGCTCCGGTTGCAAGCTACCCACACACTCAACAGTTCGAGGAATACCGCCCCCCCCCCCTACTCAAGACTCCACCGTTTTATCTTTCAGCCACCAATAAATGTGTAGAACAAGTTCTTTTGGGCCCTCGAGGTAAACCTCCTTCAATGGAGCGATCTGTTTCACTGCCGCTTTGTGTTATTTGTTTATTTTAGAAAGGTTTCCTCATACTTTTCCGGGCAGCAAAGCCCCACACAAACTACATAAGAAACACATGTTTTCTTATACGGCTTCCTGGGAGCAAAACCTAAAAACAATTTAAAAAAAGTAGGAACTTAAGAACTTGCTCGCCGCAGGCACTTTTTTTAATCTTTGGGCACCCAATTTAGGAACACACAAACAAACTATAAGAAACGTATAATAAAAGTAATTAGGTTTTTGGTGAGGAATGGTCCATCCAAAAAAGGTATAAGAACAAACGTTTTTCTGATATTTTTTTTCTCTGGGAACGAAGCTCCACCAAATAAAGTATAATAGAAGAAAACTTATACTTGTGTTTCTGGGGGTAAAGTTCCAGCCAAAAAAGATTATAAACATAGTTTTTCATATATCTTTTCTGGGACCACAGTTACACCAGTTCTTTCCAAGGTTCTTGGACTTTGCCCGCCGCAGGCGCCGATTTTATTTGTGTGGCAATTCTGAAGTCTGTAAATATATAAAGGATTTACCCACCGCAAGCGTAATTCTTTTAGAATCTTGAGGTCCCAAAGTTAGCCACATAAACAAACTTATTATGTTTTGTGGAACTTAGTGGAACTTTGCTCCTGGAAAAAATGTCAGAAAATAACTTAGCACCCAGAAAACAGTATAAGAACATATAATGTTATTTATTATATATTTTTTGGTGGAACTTAGCTCCCAGAAGAAATGAAACAATCTTTTGTTTTATCGGGGAGCCACACTCCGAGAAAAAAATATGGAAGCAGAAAACTGAACACGAAACATGATTGTTGAAACATACAATATTTCCTTTTTGAAAATATAATCCTTGAAAACATATAAGAACAATTTTTCTTATAACTTAAAATCATCCAACCCATGCACGCAATGCGTTTCGTTTTGGTGGCTTTGTTGCATTTTTGTGTGGTTAATATTCATGTTTTGGTGATTTTGCTGCAATCTCATGAATATGAACCACACAAAAATGCCATAAAACCACCAAAACGAAACGCATTGCGTGCATGGGCTGGAGGACTACGAACTATAAGAAAATTGTTCTTATATGTTTTCAAGGATTATATTGTTTAAAAAGGACATATGATATTTTTCAACAGTTATGTTTTGCGTGGAGTTTTCTGTTCCTATATGTGTTTCGCGGAGTTTGGCTCGAAAACAAAATATAATAAACCATAGTTTGTTATATTTTTCTGGAAGCAAAGTTCCACCAACGAATTTATAAGAAACACACTGTTTTCTTATATTTTTTCTGGCGGCAAAGTTCCACCAAAGAAATATAAGAAGAAAATCGTTCTTATATGTTCTTCTGGGGGCAAAGTTCTACCAAAAAAAAATAAACCAAGAAACCATATTTTTTTCCGGGGAGCAAAGTTCCCCCCCCCAAAAGTGTTGTGTGGCTAACTTTGGGACCTCAAGATTCTAAAAGAATTACCCTTGCGGTGGGTAAATCCTTTATATATTTAGAGACTTCAGAATTGTCACAACAAAATCTGCGCCTGCGGCGGGCAAAGTCTAAGGACATTGAAAAAAAAACCGCCTGCGGCGGGCAAATCCTGAAGTTCCTAACTGTAAAGTAACTTGAGACTTAAGAATGACTTAAGATTAAAAAGGTATGCGCCTGCGGCGGGCAAATTCTTAATATCTTAAGTTCTGATGTTTTGCTTTATGTGTTTGTGCTTTGCTCTCAGCAAACATATAAGATTTCGGAGTGTTGCACCATCTTTTTGCTAAAAATTATTCGTTTTAACAAGTTATGCTTGCTTAGGGTTCTTGACAAAACAAACAAGAATGTGTTCCACGTGCAAGTTCCTGCAACCATTGCCGTCAACTCTTCTCCCTGGGTATTTCTAGCAGGGATGCTGCAAAGCAGCGTGGCTTGGTTTGGTTGCAAAAAAAGAGCACACAGCGCGCCCCAGGTGGTCTACTCGCAATACTTGTCAGGACAGATGGACAAACAGGAGATTGGATTGAGTGACTTCTTTCAACAAAAGCAAATTCGGCAAACGTTTCACCAATTCCTAAATTGTTTGCTTTTCTGACACTTTTTCACATTTGCATATTTGTGTTATTTGCTTGTGCCCCGCGTCACCTGAACAAACAATGTCATGAAGGAAAATGGCATCAGAATGTCTGATTGAAAGAACCAGCTGCAAAAAACCTCCTAGTCCAAAAAGCAAGTGGTTACACTTCCTCACACTCTCAAACAAATATGCCTTAATTTTTATGTAACTCACCAGGGGTTGTGAAAATTCATACTCCAATTCTTACCCTTCTCATAACCTTTTTCAAACAGTTTGGGCCGCAAGGGCCGAATTTGAGCTCACCGGAAAGGCGGAAAGGAGCAACAACACATAACCCTCCTGGTTCTTCAACGCGACCGAACATGGACCGCTGAGCAGTTGATTCATAAGATGCACAACCTGAGTGGCCTCAATATTGGAACACCATGCGCCCACCCAACATATGGTTTTTCCCATGTCTTTCCTGTATCAAACCAAGGGTCCTCCTTGGGATCTGAGTATATATAGACATTCAGATCTACCTGGGCTGATTCTACCTAATGGCTGGGGCATCCGTAAATCCGTTTTGGGCCCTGAAGTCTAATCAATCCTCCTCACCGTCCATCCACCACTTCAATTTCCCCAGATAGCACAAGCTATTGGGGTTCTTAGTACTGCCTGTGTGCACCTTAGGAGCCTGGGTGCTGGTGCCGCAGGGCGTGTTTTGGAGTTGCCAGATGTGTGGCCAAACAGCGCAAGCTATTGGGCTTCTTGCTTGAAGTATAGGAAGAGATGCCTGTGCGCTCCTTGGAGCTTGGGCGCTGGTGCTGCAGGGCGCGGCCGCTATGGTGCCGCCCACAAAAAGTCTCTTGCTATGTGGGGTCTATGCTGGCATAATAATCGCTCACAACATGTGGTAATTGTTGACTTTTTTGGGTTAGGCTGCTTCAGATTGTTCGGGGGCCCGTTCCTGAATGGAAGACATCTCTCATCGCTCCGCTGGTTGTTGCGTTGTTGAGATGGTGTTCTTTCCGGTCTTCCTCTGTCTGTCCTCCTCTCTTTTTTTGATGGCTGCCGGGTGCTGGCACGAGTTCTGAGTGTTTTGCCGGGTTCCGCCAATCGAGTTGAGAAAGGAGAGAGGCCATCTTGTAGTGAAGCAAATCTCACACCCGTTCTAATCTCCCTATATGGAAGTAGTTGTCACTATTAGTGATGGGTTGCTGACATCAACAACAACCTGCCACAGCAACAACCAGTCTCAACTCTTCTCTATATCACTTCCCTCCAGGATTGTGGGATTGAAGATTGTCTCCAGTCCGCAAGTAATGGGAAAACTAGTCCGCCACTGCACAATCTTCAATCCGTGCAACCCTAAGTTGATTTGATAGGATCAAGTCAGTATGAGTCACGTAGGATTTCATGCCAACACGTGTAATCTGCAAAGACGAGGATAAAACTGACAATCGATTCAAGGATTAAAAGAACACATCACACATCTAAACTGTTTGTATCTCGCTACGGAATCCAAACGGATCCGAACTTCCACTTAGAAGGCGTGGTCCGGCGCAAAGAAAACAAAGCACTCCATCGCACCTGGCTGTGGAAACTTCAGAGTCGCCTGTGTCTCGTCACCGATGTGCTCGGAGCGCTCACACAAGGTCCTCACCTATTGACATGTGTTGTGAGGGTTCCAATCGGCAGTCTCTATCGACCAAACCAAGGGTGATTCCTAGTGATGGAATAGCCACCTATGGGTCTGCTATTTTTGGCAAAGTCTCTGAGTCTCTTTTCATCCAACCGTTGAATGCTGAAGCACAGAACTGGATGCTATAGAGAAATGGTCGTTTCAGCCACTCCGTATTCGTTGTACTTCCAATGTAACTCTTTCTCGCAGGCTAACGCGAAACTTCAAATCAACACTAGACAGTGCAGTGTATGCTGATCCGACATTGGATGCAAAGGTAGCAATTTGTCGGATTTAGCCCAAGCCCAGAACACAGTGGCATGAAACCAGCTTTGATCTTCCTTCGAGACCAGTCCAGCCTGGATTTGGCGCTGCCAATCTGGCCAGTCGCAACGATGGACCAAATTTGGGCAGCTCTGAACACGTGGCATTGGAACCATCGACGTGGACTCTACATCGATGAAACTCAAGCGATACAGAAGCTTCGCCATGAGCACGCCCCGAGAAATCGCAGCCACTAGCTTCCACTTGAGGGACAGTAGCTGCATATTTGGAGGCCAATGTAAACTCATTCCACTTGCAATGAAACAGCGCATGTCCTCATTTGACGCTGCTTCAGGCAGGAGCGTGCTCAGGCACGAACAGCAGTTACCAAAGAAACATAAAGAAACA